CTTGCAGCTGATAGCCAGGTGAAGCTTCTCCCTGCTAGCTTGTTGCAGCTGATAGCCAGGTGAAGCCTCTCACTGCTAGCTTCTTGCAGCTGATAGCCAGGTGAAGCTTCTCCCTGCTAGCTTGTTGCAGCTGATAGCCAGGTGAAGCCTCTCCCTGCTAGCTTGTTGCAGCTGATAGCCAGGTGAAGCCTCTCCCTGCTAGCTTGTTGCAGCTGATAGCCAGGTGACGCCTCTCCCTGCTAGCTTGTTGCAGCTGATAGCCAGGTGACGCCTCTCCCTGCTAGCTTGTTGCAGCTGATAGCCAGGTGACGCCTCTCCCTGCTAGCTTGTTGCAGTTCACACGTTCTAACGTTTCACAAATACACATTTTTGTTTCTATCGCACGTATCGTGACAACGTTTCGCTCTTTGCAAACTTCTACCAACAGAGGAACTGCCTTGACCTCTGTGGGAAGCAATCATTAGACATATCGCATACCAGTGTCTGGAAAAGTCGCAGACGGAAGCTTACAAAGTTTATACTGGAGATCACACCGAGAAGGATGACAATATTAAGAAGACAAACCAGGAGTATTATGGAAAGATATTAATTACACAGCCCAGGTTAAAATAGTTTCGGTCATGGAATATCCGGCCTATTGGAAAAAAATAGTAATTTTGGTAGAATTGTCAATAATGTTAGGTAAAAGGACACAAGTGCCACTAATAGGACATCAAGGTACTTCTAACTAACGTGTTGCAACACAGTCGACCACGACAGCATCAAGACGCACTAGTAGAATATCGAAACTATATACATCATTTACACAGATTTTTCAAACACATTTGGCAAATATGACCAATGGAGTGATGACCTACTGAAGATCACAATGTATTACAAGAAAAGTCGGGGAATATATATTAAAATTTGTGATAGAATTGTGCCATCAAAAAATATGGAGTACCACTAGACACAGTAGTTAGCCAGACATTGTCTCGTCTTCAACTATGATAGATAAAACTCTGCCCATCACTGTGTTACCTTCGTCAGATGATACCAAAATAAGTATGAAAGTCGCCGCGAAAGTTGCTCACAAACTATAGATATGAACAAACTTTCTTATAGGACTTATAGGACCGTCTTCAGTGTTTGTACTTACAACAGCAGTTATGCTGGAGGTGTACAAATACAAAATTTAGAAAGAAGACAAAATTGCTCTGATAGGGAAAGAAGGAAGGACTCAACAACAAAGACAGGATATGATAAATAGGAAGACTTTCACACAGAACGAAGGAAGGAGGTACAAGACTTAGAAAACTGTCAGATAACCAGTCATTCACTGAACATAACGAAGTAAATTCGTAAATGGTCAAGAAGATGGCAGGTTGGGTTACTTTAAGTTTCAGAGCTAGAGCCAGGTCAGCTAGAGTCATGTCAACTAGAGTCAGGTCAACTAGAGTCAGGTCAGCTAGAGTCAAGTCAGTTAGAGTCAGATCACTTGCTTTCTCCTGTTTAATATATTTCTGTGCTAGCAGAAAGGCAGGGGAGAAAAATCAAGATGGGAAATATACAAAGAAAGCTCCTAGGCCATACAGAATCATTAACACATCTAAGTTATAAAGATACTGATAACGTTACTAGCAGAGTCCTAATTGATACTAAACACATGAAAATACTCAAGTATACAGTACAATAACAACTTGCTAGAGTCAGAGATACAGTAAGATTGTTGAATAAACTCAAAGAGCACTGTGTCATACTCAAGTATTTACGAACTTTCACTCTTCTGCTAGTATATGTAAGAAATATAACTGGATCATTACATAATTTCCACGGAGAGGCACCACGGGTTTTATCTACAACATCCACAGTGTCCCTAAAGATTATTTACATGTTATACGTGATTGGTACACGTCCTAAATAATCTTAGAAGTCATAACAACCAGAAAAATACGGTGCCCCGTGGCCTGGTACGCAACGCTCTCGTGGTGGATCCCGGGCCGGGTAGAAACACTTGGTGTGTTTCTTTGCACGTGGTGTCCCTGCTCACCTAGCAAGTAAGTAGGTACATGGGTGTTAGTCGACTGGTGTGGATCGCATCCTAGGGGGGGGCAAGACTGAAGGACCACAATGGAAATAAGACAGTCCTCGATGACACACTGACTTTCTGGGGCTATCCAGGGTGACTAACACTCCCCCGGGTTAAAAATCAGAAACAGATCTTATTTTATCTTAGCTTACACCAAGAGAAAACAGGCAGCCTTCTGTAGGAAGAGCTGGATCAACAGGGTATGATGGCTGTGCATGACTGCGGCTGCCTGCAGCATTAAACTGGTAAAATAGGAACCAGTGACCACATTTCACTGTGAACAATTAAACCAGAGTGGGCTTAGTGGAAGTAGTGATGGAAGCTCCACCCTCCATCAACTGATTGCGACACAAACAGGCCGCCAGCAGGCAAAGTTTCAGGTTGCAACCATGCAACACAAGACACCGGTCACATGTAGGTCCTGCAGTGAACATGTGTACTGTGCATGTGTTCATGCAGTCTTGTATCAGCACAGCGGCAGGAACACTTAAAATATTTAATGTTCTGACCACCACAGTCGTAGCAAGAAGTCTCTACAACCACATCAAGTCACTACAGCACTCACCTGCAACCACAACCATACCAAGAGTCACTACAGCACTCACCTGCAACCACAACCATACCAAGAGTCACTACAGCACTCACCTGCAACCACAACCATACCAAGTCACTACAACACTCACCTGCAACCACAACCATACCAAGAGTCACTACAGCACTCACCTGCAACCACAACCATACCAAGAGTCACTACAACACTCACCTGCAACCACAACCATACCAAGAGTCACTACAACACTCACCTGCAACCACAACCATACCAAGAGTCACTACAGCACTCACCTGCAACCACAACCATACCAAGAGTCACTACAAACACTCACCTGCAACCACAACCATACCAAGAGTCACTACAACACTCACCTGCAACCACAACCATACCAAGAGTCACTACAACACTCGACTGCAACCACAACCATACCAAGAATCACTACAACACTCACCTGCAGTCACAACCATACCAAGAGTCACTACAACACTCACCTGCAACCACAATTATACCAAGAGTCACTACAGCACTCACCTGCAACCACAACCATACCAAGAGTCACTACAACACTCACCTGCAACCACAACCATACCAAGTCACTACAACACTCACCTGCAACCACAACCATACCAAGAGTCACTACAACACTCACCTGCAACCACAACCATACCAAGTCACTACAACACTCACCTGCAACCACAACCATACAAGAGTCACTACAACACTCACCTGCAACCACAACCATACCAAGTCACTACAACACTCACCTGCAACCACAACCATACCAAGAGTCACTACAACACTCACCTGCAACCACAACCATACCAAGAGTCACTACAACACTCATCTGCAACCACAACCATACCAAGAGTCACTACAACACTCACCTGCAACCACAACCATACCAAGAGTCACTACAACACTCACCTGCAACCACAACCATACCAAGTCACTACAACACTCACCTGCAACCACAACCATACCAAGAGTCACTACAACACTCACCTGCAACCACAACCATACCAAGAGTCACTACAACACTCATCTGCAACCACAACCATACCAAGAGTCACTACAACACTGATCTGCAACCACAACCATACCAAGAGTCACTACAACACTCACCTGCAACCACAACCATACCAAGTCACTACAACACTCACCTGCAACCGCAACCATACCAAGTCACTACAACACTCATCTGCAACCACAACCATACCAAGAGTCACTACAACACTCACCTGCAACCACAACCATACCAAGAGTCACTACAACACTCACCTGCAGCCACAACCATACCAAGAGTCACTACAACACTCATCTGCAACCACAACCATACCAAGAGTCACTACAACACTCACCTGCAGCCACAACAACAACCACGAAAGGAACCATCACAATAACCACATTCAATCCTAACTTGTTCGGTCTAGCAGTACTGGAACTACAAAGTTAACTCAATAAAAAAAAATACTTGCGTGCCATCACACATCAGAAACGAAAGTCTGTAAGTTCTCCCATCAATATTTGTGGTTGGCAGGGTTCCACACACACACCGGGAACTTCACTACACACATTCCACATCCTCCACCACCCTCCTCATTACTACTTATTAGCATTCCAAAACTTGTTTTTTCAACCGCCCATTTTTTTTTGTTTTGTTTTCTGTTTCCGTCCCGCTAATGACAGAGCTGCCAGTCTGTTCGCTCGCCCACCATCACCTTTGTTCTCTCCTAGTCCCTCTATTTTTCCTTCTTTTCTATTCTCCATTTTTCCTCCTTTCGTATTCTCTTTTTCCTGCTTTCCTCCCCACCTTCTCTTGCAGCCACAATGGAAGCAAGACCTGTTTTGATATTTACATGTCCTCTATCGTCACTATCAACGCATCAGTTATCAAAAGACAATATTCATCACATCAACACGTCAGAACACTCAGGAGTTTGAGCAGGATTTTTGCTCCCGTCCTGACGTCCCGTGAATTTTTTGTTTGTTTATACCGGCGCTATCACTAGAACACTTGTTGAATACCATATTGGACAGAGCTACAAGGTAAATGCTAGCTACAGAGGCTGTGACAACATCTCACTCCCACAGTGCTGCTCTGGTGACTGCCGGTGCTGGAGGTGTCCAGAGAGACCCTGGTTACACCACCAGCAGCGCCACACACCCGCTAACTCTGGACGGTGCTGGTAATTGCAACCTTCACCACCACCACTGGTGATAGTTGCTGCAGCAGGCTCACCCACCCGTTCTGCCCACTATCACCAGAGCTGTATCACCAGCAGCAGCCAGTTCCACCAAGAGCAGGAGAGTAAGAGCATCATGCAGAGCTTGGGGGAGAGGAAGTGAGAGAGTGGGGTGGGGGTTATGTGCAGTACTCACCACCAGGTTGCTTGTGCAGGTTGCAGGAGCAGGAGAAGCAAGGCCAACACTTGCAGCAGGGCCAGACCCACGGCTCCAGCCTCCCACCACCTCATGGTAGTCACTGCCTCACATGCCGCGCCTTCGCGTCCTCAGCGTCCACTCCGGCCAGGCTTCTGGACTCCCACAGGAGGCCAGGGAGCTCCCAGCCTCATTGTGCGTCCCACAGAGGCACTGCAGGGGACACCACCTCCACTGCTACCTCAAGCTTCTCACTCAAGTAAATCCTCGTGGCAACAAGAGGCCTTCACCTCGTCAACTTCTCCGTAAGTCCTCTTGTTCAGTTCTCCTCTGAGTCTGGCCACAGACTCCCTCAGAGGTCCTGTAGAAGGGATCAAGGTCTTAGCAAATTCCCTTTTTTTTTGGCCTCCACAACACGCGCATGTTTACAAGTGTAGACTGGTTGTGTGACCTGCCTGGCCCCGGCTGCAGCCTCCACCAACACTGCTCTGCACGCAACACTTCTCACACTCCAGCCACAGCACACACACACACGCACCCAGGAAGGAACCCGCACTGCGTTCTTCCTTCGTAACACCAAGAAGCACACTGGAGGAGCCAAGCCCAGCTTTACAGATGTGGGAGGCGGCCATCAACACACCTCCACACACACACACACACACAAACACACACACACAAGCCTGGAAACGCAACCACGCACTCTACCATCTCCAGCCAAACACATCCCAGCGGAGGGTGTGAAATCCCCACACATCCCACACACACCTTAGCTCCCTACCCCAGGAACCTCCAGTAAGTGAAGTTCTAAGTGCACCTGACCTCAGTGTGATCGCGCCACTGATTTTGACCAGTTAATGGAGGCTAATGTGCACCGGTGCCCATCACCGTTGTGCGTGTCAGTGGTGCAGGGCACTGGTGGGGGTCTGCCAGTACACACTGACCCACCACGGGACACAGGTGGGGGTCTACCAGTACACACTGACCCACCACTGGGCACTGGTGGGGTCTGCCAGTACACACTGACCTACCACGAGGCATTGGTGGGGGTCTGCCAGTACACACTGACCCACCACCGGGCACTGGTGGGGGTCTGCCAGTACACACTGACCCACCACGGGGCATGTGTACGGGTCTGCCAGTACACACTGACCCACCACTGAGTATTGGTGAGGGTCTGTCAGTACACTGATCCACCACGGAGCACTGGTGAGGGTCTGCCAGTACACTGACCCACCACGGGGCACTGGTGAGGGTCTGCCAGTACACTGACCCACCACGGGGTACTGGTGAGGGTCTGCCAGTACACTGACCCACCACGGGGTATTGGTGGGGGTCTGCCAGTACACTGACCCACCACGGGGTACTGGTGAGGGTCTGCCAGTACACTGACCCACTACGGGGTACTGGTGGGGGTCTGCCAGTACACTGACCCACCACAGGGCACTAGTGGGGGTCTCCCAGTACACACTGACCCACCACGGGGCACTAGTGGGGATCTCCCAGTACACACTGACCCACCACGGGGCACTGATAGGTGTCTGCCAGTACACTGACCCACCATAGGGCACTAGCGGCGGTCTGCCAGTACACACTGACCCACCACAGGGTACTGGTGGGGGTCTGCCAGTACACTGACCCACCACGGGGCACTGGTGGGGGTCTGCCAGTACACTCGCCCACCACGGGGCACTGGTGGGGGTCTGTCAGTACACTGACCCACCACGGGGCACTGGTGGGGGTGTGCCAGTACACTGACCCACCACGGGGCACTGGTGGGGGTGTGCCAGTACACTGACCCACCACGGGACACTGGTGGGGGTGTGCCAGTACACTGACCCACCAGGGGCACTGGTGGGGTGTGCCAGTACACGACCCCCCACGGGCACTGGTGGGGGTGTGCCAGTACACTGACCCACCACGGGGCACTGGTGGGGGTGTGCCAGTACACTGACCCACCACGGGGCACTGGTGGGGGTGTGCCAGTACACTCACCCACCACGGGGCACTGGTGGGGGTGTGCCAGTACACTCACCCACCACGGGGCACTGGTGGGGGGGGTGCCAGTACACTGACCCACCACGGGGCACTGGGGGGGGTGTGCCAGTACACTGACCCACCACGGGCACTGGTGGGGGTGTGCCAGTACACTGACCCACCACGGGCACTGGTGGGGGTGTGCCAGTACACTCACCCCACGGGGCACTGGTGGGGTGTGCCAGTACACTCACCCACCACGGGGCACTGGTGGGGGTGTGCCAGTACACTGACCCACCACGGGGCACTGGTGGGGGTGTGCCAGTACACTGACCCACCACGGGGCACTGGTGGGGGTGTGCCAGTACACTGACCCACCACGGGGCATGGTTGGGGGTGTGCCAGTACACTGACCCACCACGGGGCACTGGTGGGGGTGTGCCAGTACACTGACCCACCACGGGGCACTGGTGGGGGTGTGCCAGTACACTGACCCACCACGGGGCACTGGTGGGGGTGTGCCAGTACACTGACCCACCACGGGGCACTGGTACCTTGATGCTGCTGAAGCGCTCGTCGTCCAAGGAACTGAATCTACCCTCCCTTTCCTCGGATCAAACCTGTTTGCCCCTCATTCTCCAGGATTTGTATAACCCCTTTGAGTTTAGCTCTTCCCTTCTATCCACACCCACCCATCCACCTATCCACACTCACTCACCTATCCACATTCACTCACCCACCCACCTATCCACACCCACCCACCTACCCACACTCACCCACCCACCCACCTATCCACACTAACCCTCCTATCCCAAACAACTTTCATTACCTACCTCCTAGCCTGCCCTTGCCCTATCCTCCCTTCCAGTGAGCTATCTCTCCATCCTCCCTATCCATCCCACCCTCCCTTCAAACCACTATTACTCTATCCACCTTCCTCAAACCTGCTCTGTCAACTTTTTTTTCCCCTTAGTCTCTGTACCAGCAAGAGCAAGTTGCTCTCTCACACCCCACGCATTCTCACTCTAATTTACTCATTTAGCTCATGGTGTTTTGTTAGTTAGAAAAAATATGTATCCTGAAAGGAATCTCGATATCAGTACATGTATCTTGTTCGTCAGGAAACATTCGTTTCCTGACGAACAAGATACATGTACTGATATCTTCTCGGTACCATTTTTTTAGCATGCTTCCAGGTTTTATGTAATTATCATTGTCTGTGCTTTTTTATTAGAAAAAATATATCCTGAAGGAATATGTATATCATAACTGTATCTTGTTCGTCAGGAAATGTTTCTGAGAACAAGATACATTACTGAATCTTTCGGTACCATTTTTTTAGATGGTTCACTGAGGGTTATTTACGATCAATCCAATTTTTTGTGCACTTCTTTACATAGCACTGATAAACTCGGAGCGTGTTATAGTAATATAACTTAATTCACTATCCTCAGAAATGAAATAAATGGTAAGATACCGACACAATGGAAATTAAACAAATGCATGTATAATGTTATCCTTTATTACATACGTTTCACCCACACATGGCATTTTTCAAGTCACCCACGATAGATTCGTGTAGTCGACTTACTGATAAAAGCCACTGTGTGGTCTGATGAACTTGTCATATGAAGGATCACATTATACTGCATTGTGTTTATCTTCCATACTACAGAAATGGTGAGGTACCTAAACTTGAACTTTGAGTACTCCTGATTATTGTTTGTGTTCACTTCGATGATTTAACACCACACTCTCTGAGTTAGTGTACTCCTTGAGCAACTTCAGTACTCGACACAGTGCACTGACTTACACCTCAAGTCCATAGATGAGTTCCTAGTGAGGCAGTGTTGAATATTTTGTGAGACTCTGTCAGCTCATCCTTTACTGACTTACAGCATTACTGTCAGTTCATCCTTCACTGACTTACAGCATTACTGTCAGTTCATCCTTCACTGACTTACAGCATTACTGTCAGTTCATCCTTCACTGACTTACAGCATCACTGTCAGTTCATCCTTCACTGACTTACAGCATTACTGTCAGTTCATCCTTCACTGACTTACAGCATTACTGTCAGTTTTCATCTTCACTGACTTGCAGCATTTACTGCAGTTCATACCTTCACTGACTTTACAGCATTACTGTCAGTTCATCCTTCACTGACTTACAGCACACTGTCAGTTCATCTTCACTGACTTACCATGCATTACCTGTCAGGTTCATCCTTCACTGACTTCAGCATTACTGTCAGTGTCATCTTCACTGACTTACAGCATTACTGTCAGATCATCCTCACTGACTTACAGCATCACTGTCAGTTCATCCTTCACTGACTTACAGCATTACTGTCAATTGTTGTACATTTCCACTTCCAGGTGTTCCCCTTGCAGGTGTTCCCCTTGCAGGTGTTCCCCTTGCAGGTGCTCCCCTTATAGGTGTTCCCCTTACAAGTGTTCCTCTTACAGGTGTTCCCCTTACAAGTGTTCCCCTTACAAGTGTTCCCCTTGCAGTGTTCCCCTTGTACAAGTGTTCCCCTTGACAAGTGTTCCCTTGCAAGTGTTCCCCTTACAGGTGTTCCCCTTACAAGTGTTCCCCTTGCAAGTGTTCCCCTTACAAGTGTTCCCCTTGCAAGTGTTCCCCTTACAGTGTTCCCCTTACAGGTGTTCCCCTTGCAAGTGTTCCCCTTACAGGTGTTCCCCTTACAAGTGTTCCCCTTGCAAGTGTTCCCCTTACAGGTGTTCCCCTTACAAGTGTTCCTCTTGCAGGTGTTCCCCTTGCAAGTGTTCCCCTTACAGGTGTTCCCCTTACAAGTGTTCCCCTTGCAAGTGTTCCCCTTACAAGTGTTCCCCTTGCAAGTGTTCCCCTTACAGGTGTTCCCCTTACAGTGTTCCCTTGCAAGTGTTCCCCTTACAGGTGTTCCCCTTGCAAGTGTTCCCCTTACAGGTGTTCCCCTTACAAGTGTTCCCCTTGCAAGTGTTCCCCTTACAAGTGTTCCCCTTGCAAGTGTTCCCCTTGCAGGTGTTCCCCTTACAGGTGTTCCCCTTGCAAGTGTTCCCCTTACAGGTGTTCCCCTTGCAAGTGTTCCCCTTACAGGTGTTCCCCTTACAAGTGTTCCCCTTGCAAGTGTTCCCCTTACAGTGTCCTCTTCCCTTTGCAAGTGTTCCCCTTACAGGTGTTCCCCTTACAGGTGTTCCCCTTGCAAGTGTTCCCCTTACAGGTGTTCCCCTTACAAGTGTTCCTCTTGCAGGTGTTCCCCTTACAAGTGTTCCTCTTGCAGGTGTTCCCCGACAAAGCTGCTTCTTTGGAAATGCTACATTAACGTCCACTTTGAGGAGTTAGACACATGAGCAACACCTGCCGAGCAGGCGAAATGTTTCGCCTGCTCGGCAGCCATCTACAATCAAATTATAATAATTATCACACTGAAGACTGCAGAGAGTGAAACATCGTCTGCAGTGTTTCCTAGACTAAAGATACCTGTCCAACACACCAAATATTCCGACAATAACAAAAATTCCAGTGTGTTACACAGAGTTTTATTTATCAACTTGTCGGTATTACCTGGAGTTTACCTGGAGAGAGTTCCGGGGGTCAACGCCCCCTCTGCCCGATCTGTGACCAGGCCTCCTATATATAATATAACTATATAATATACATAAATCTTCTAATTCAACTTCGTGTGTATTATGGTATGTGTCATTACGTTATGTGTCACCTTCACCACATCAAAATGGCCTTCCAGCAGCCTGGCAAATTTCCTTGACCTTCTTTCGTTATCAA